CAATGATAAAAAGGCAAGTGTACCATGTTAGGTTGAGTTTTTTTTTTGTTGACAAAGATAATATTAATGACCTTGCAGTTCTGAAAGACTTATATATATTTTAGAAAACACATCAACAGTTTTTTCATATTTTTTTCGTTAATTATCTTTTTCATTAATTAAACAAGCATGCTTTCAGAATCCTTCATGGCATTATTAGCGATCACAAATATTGCACTGATAATTGGCTGTTGAACTAATGGCATATTCAGCTGGACAACGTAAATTAGGGTATGCAGAGATTATTCAGTTGTTAGTCTTCAAACTTCCTGCATATTTCAATTTTTTACTGTATATTTAATAATTTTACGTGCTGTATCAATGTTAGTTCGTATTAAGCATTTTAACAATTGCTATTTTTTTTCTGCTGGTGAAATGTTTTTTTCTTCCCTCTACTTTCTTTTCTAATCGTTTTTCGCTTCATTGATTGTTTGGCTTGCTTTTCGTTTTCTTTTAGAATTGAAAAGTTCAATGGTGCTATCCTAAATTCACTTTTTTGCATTGATAACTATTTTTTAAGATCGGAAATAATCGCACTAATACATGAATAGCTTCAGGCAATTTTCTGTAGAAAATTACCACATTGCAGTGCAGAGCCATCATTCATATTTATTCAGGTAGAAAAGAAATGAAACTATTCAAATATCAGTAGAACAAAAAGGAAAGGTGTATATGACAATGGTGCTACATTTATATAAAAAAAAAAGGAAAAAAAAACAAATAAAGAAAAACGTTGCTATAAAATAAAGTAATATGCAATTATTTGAAATGATTAATGTTAAAAAATAGCGGTATTTTAAAAGTATATTTTAATCTCAAATTCATATTTGATATATAAAAAGTGAAACGAAGCAAACGACTTCTTTTTCTTCTTTTATTCTATTATAAAAAAAAAGGCTTACAAGCCAGAAACAAAGCAAAAGATGACAGCAGCGCGATTCATTCATTACTCGAACAAACAGATATTTTAGCAAAATGTGCAAGTAATATATAATATAAGAAATTTTATTTATTGAACGAAAAGAATAGAATAAAGTGTAGAAAAAAGTCTTGAAATTGATATGCTTCAACTTTTATAGGGCAAAAAACATATGATTTATGAATAGGAAATTACATCGAAACTGCAACAGGAACAAAAATCAACCAAAGATGTTAGTCATGAAACTTTCATTTTGCAAAACATACTGATAACATTAAAAAAAAACAGAGTTCCGAAATACCTGTCCCACTTAATAACGAAGTATAAAAACTCATGCCGTATTGATCGGCAGCTTAAGATCCAACACTTTTTTTTACACTTATGATATTTTTCACTTCTAGTTTCTTTGTCTCTTAAAAAAGCATGAAAGAAATAATTGAAAAAAGAAAAGGAAAACATGGAATCGTAATCTGCACATATACACAGCAATTATTTTTATGCGCCGTGAATATGTTAGATCAAAATTGTTATTAATTTTGATCTCTTATTGCCATCTATACATTACTATACAATGTTATATTAGTTTGAATTAGCGCATGAAAGTTTAAATTCTGTGACGAAAATTGTTTCTGTCATATCATATCAGTAATCTTTGCACTTACGTCTTCGTCTTTGTTGTCTTTTTTTTCCGCGTCATCGATTATGCTTGCTTCTTTTGTAGATATGTTCAGTGATTCTGTTTTTTCTCTTCTCTGAAATACAAAAATTATATAGTACTTTCCATAGCTTTTAAGGAAAAAAACCAACATATCATGCCTTATTTTATCTGAACTTGAACCTTGAAAATTCAAACACAAAAGAGCCAATAATAAATACAATGGTTACAGTTAAATATCAAGCATTTCAGTTCAATTTTTATCTAATCTATAAGATTTCAACCATTGATAATCAAGAGAAGAAGGTGAAATAAAATGCAAATGGTATCCAAGTAAAACGAAATCTTTGATAAAATCCATTAAGACAATAATTTCTAAACTTTATAATGACTTGTATAGTATTTATAAATTATAACGAAATTAAAATAAAATCGCAAATTTATATTATTGTTTTATATCGTTTTATATATAATAAGCAAAATAACAAAGCATAACTGAGATGAAATTGAACTAAGCATAACTGTAACAGAGATGATAACACTAATAGTACAAAATTCCACAAAATTTCTATTCAAATCAATTTCAAATCCATTTTCGCAGATTGCATTCACTGTACATTAGAATATATACAATAAATGGTGAATGAAAATCAAAATATATAGCACATAGTGCATGAAATCCTCAAATTAGGACAAGCATGGATTAAGCCCGACTAAGCCCACCTTCTTCAATTAATGAATGGACCCTTCGTATCAGACATAGCAAAACTGAAGTTTACCATTACTGCTCGTCAAAATTCGTTGTTCGGTACTCTGTCTGACGGAGCTTTTTAATTTCTTTTTTATTTCGGGTGGTGGGGGTGTGATTGTCGAGTTGATATCGTTGCAAAATAAGTGGTAGGAGATCTGTTATCATTCTTGTGATTTTTGTTGTTCATATTTAACAACAGCTACCATTTCCTACCTGTACCTCCTGGTAATAGTATCAATTTATTTTAATGCTTTGCTAACAATATCAACTCTGACTTCCACTCTGATGCGCTTTATCTGATGATAATAGTAATTTTTGCTTGTACCTCGACAAAGGCACTAATTTTTGTTTGAATCCTATAATGGTACAAAAGTTATATTCTTGAAAATATGAATTTGTACATGATTTTGTTGACTGTACACTAATTCTTGCTTTGTGTAATTTTATATGCTACTCGAATTTCCATATAGTTGGAAAAAGATACAGTTGTGTGAGATGAGAATAACTGATCAAGTTGCATTTTTAAATTTATTCAAACGAAGAGCTTTTATTAAATTAAATCTACAATTTGACTGCCACTATAAAGTTATTACCAGCTAACACAAAGCTATATTTTTTCCTCTATTTGAAGTGAAGGGATGAACGATTCAAAATGAAAATGATTAAAAAGCATACATGAGTATTAATGATTGACACAAGTAAATTATATGCGTGTTATTGCAGATGTAATGAATCATCTAGCGGAATATTACAGTGATGATGAATCACCATTTAGAAGAAATTCTGAAGAACTTGGCCTGAACAACAGCGATAAAGGTAATAGCTTCGAGATACTCCGAACTTAGTTTTTACTTGTATAGGTTTATTTTCATGCTTTCATTACTAGATTTAAACTACATTTCTAAATTCTTCAAACTTTTTGCTTCTCTTTTTATTCTTGTTTCGAATCGATCTAAAAAGTGTATTACTTTTAAATGCATAGCTTTAGTATAACTTTTAACATAACAGTTACATATTTCTTTAAGCAAGTAATTGTTCTTTGGTTCTGATATGTTAGGCCTTTTTCTTTTAAGCTAAGTAATAAGTAATTTTAAAGTTTCAGAGCAAATATCAGGTGGAATAGGCAAGGAGGTTTCAGAGAAAGAGGAACGGCGAAATTCGGAATACTGGACAGGTAAGGACGTCTAGCTAAATAAGAAGGAATGAATGGTTCCTTAGAACTTTTATTTACATAAAACTCTACATGACTATTTTAGAATGGTGCAAAACAGTTGCAACTGGAAGCCAGCACACATATGTGTGATTTATTTTGATCTTACTATATGTTCCTACATGGTCATAAAATGCTGATTCTGGAATAAATACTTGAAGAAAATTAATTTAAGAGCCGCTGTGATTTTGCTTTTTTATAACTTTATTGATTTGCTATCGTAGTTTCAGTACTCTTTCTTCGTAATTGGATTAATAATTGTTCATTGTTGAGATGAATCAGCGAATGGAAGTTCGTCATCGAACGCTGACTCGAGTGTCGAATCTGAAAGTAGGAAGAGCGGAAACGTTAGTTCATCGCATCCACCTCCACCTAAAAAAGCACTGATATCACCTTCAGAACATCTAGTGCAAAGTGATTTTGATGCAACATTATCACGACCACAGAATCGAAATCAACCTTTTGCTTCAAAAAGTGCGCTTTACATTACGCAAAGTCAAACTTCACTGGTTTCATATGGTGAACAGGAAGATGAGGAGGATCAGTTCGCCAAAGGTTTGTGCATTAACAAAATTTGTGTTGAAAAATGTTAATTAACAGAAAAGGTGCTTGATGTTAGTTGATCCTTATATATGTTGTATGTCCATTTACGTTAAGAATCATTAGATCTAATATTATCTCATTTATTGAAGATCATGCAGCTAAATCTGATGATTGAACGACAAACTCATTTTTCATTTAACTTAATTTTTCGGCTCTTCTGTAAAGACGCATTTATATAGTATACAATTTCAACCCGATCCTCTGATGTGAAATTTTGTTGTGACATTTTTCTTTCCACTGTAATATTATCATAAGTGGAAGATAGTTGAGCAAGTTTAGCTGATCGAAAAGCAGTTGCAAGGAAGCAAACAGAAGAGAAAGGGAGCTCAGAATCAACAAATCGAGAACCAAAACCACCACCAGGTCATGAAGATAGTCGTTCGCCGGATGAAATTGCTGTAGATAGTGCGGTCGAAGAAGGTTTACGAGAACTTGTAAGTATGCTTATCCAATATTCATATTAAAAAGTATCTATTGCTATGCATGTTGGCCGGAAAGAGATGTAGGTGTGGATGAATATGCAGGATTTTCCGCATAGTAAAATTCCGTCTAGCACTATGATCTAGTTAACTCCCTAAATAGTTAACTGATTTCTTCTTCCTATGCTTTTTATAGGAAAGACAACATATCGATCAAAATCTTGATAGTTTAACACCAAAATCAGCGGAAGGAAATGATAGTCCGCAGATTCATGATGAACCTGTGGAAATACGATTGCCACCTTCACCGACCACAAAATGCTCTACGGAACTTGAGGTATAGAATTTATTTTTGGAATTCATGCATTAGGTTGAATTTAAAGAGAAAAACAAAATTAAACTCATTTTGCAGGCACGGTTTCGAGGATTTTTCGAAAAAAAGGCACAAGGAGCCGATTTGAATGCACTAATACAAAAAAGGCGTGATTTCAAAAATCCATCAATGTACGAAAAATTAATTGAGAAATTCGAAGTGGATGAATTGGGTTCAAATTTCGCTCCGTCGGTTTTTGACCCACATGGTTTTACAAAAGATTGTTTCTATGATCAGATTTGTAAGTTTATATTTTTCTTAAGTTACATGAAGTAGAGTAACTTTTCTTTTTTCTGCATAAATGGACTGTAGGAGCACAAAAAAAATTTTTGCCTTGATCAGTTGACCTTATGAAATTAGATCTATACTCTCTTCAGCAATACTCCAAAAGGAAGCTATGGAGAAGTACAATGCTACTGTTGAGAAGAAAACAATAAGCGGAACTATATCTGCTAAAGGAACTGAAGCTAAACGGAAATCACGTTTCGAAGGTGCCAAAAAGTGATTCTTTATTAAGTTATTATTGAATCTTGTAATAATTCCACAACAATTTTACGTTTGTTTACATAGTATGATATGATCAAGTGATACGATTTGTGAAAATTGAAGAGTAGAAAACATAACTTCATTAGAGCAGTATTAATTCTCTTCATGTCGTCATTTCAGCGGTTTGTTTTGTTTATTATTGACTTAAGGATTTATCACTAAAATTCAGACTGAAATGGGACCACCACTGATGAAAGTTATTGAGTTTTTGGTGCATAGAATGCAAAGTAGATAGCTTAAACCCACCGCTAACTGACCGCTAGTAATTACGGTCTTAAATCGACCGTAATATATTCTAAGGTTATCACAAACAATCAGTTTCAATTTGTGTAACAGTTTCGCCAAAATCATTTTATTTTGTACAGCTTGTTAAAATAAATTTTTCATGACCTGATATAGATATTTATCTTTCATCCGCTATTGCATGCACTAAATATATTGATCGTATATGTTTTCCATTCGCCATGACAAGGCCAACCATTCGGGATTCCTGCTCATCTTTCCATTGTTCCTGGAAATAAATTAGTGGAAGGCTGGAAAAGCTGGACTTTAAAATCATAGAAATTTGGGCATCCAAGACGTTCTACAATTTACTACAAAGTTTCGAAACAATTTTAAAACCGACAAGCAACAAGCAATCAAGCGGCTAATTTTATTTTAACAAAAGCACATCACAGTATTCCGATGTTGATCGACACAACTCATAAAATCCATTAACTGTCATTAAGTGTGAAAAATGAAATTTATCTGAAGTAATTACCTTACAACCACTGAGAATTATATTTGGTGCATTATCAGTACAGACAAATTTCCCTTCAATTGTACGCCCATCAGTTAATTCAAGTCGTAAAATCTTCCCAAGCCATCGACGTACACCCAAATCTTCTTGATTCAGCATAACTTTTGCTAATCATTACATTATATAAAAATATATAGTAAATCGAGTATCTGTGACAGTTATGACAGAAAAAGAAAAAATCGAAGCATAAAAACTGAACCACTCAAAAGCAAACCTAAACATTCGTAATACCCAGAAACCAATCCAGGAAAGCAACATTGACCCCAAACTAAAATTTACAATTTGCTTCAATCAAATTCAAACCTATTTTACAATATAGTGAAAATGTTAGTATATTATTGAACAAATATCTTCGATTAGCAATTTTGAATTCATTTTATTTTACCTTCATAATATAATATACATGTAAACAATATATACTGCTTAAACTTTTTTTTGTTAAAGCCATTGTCGGCTTCATGGAAAAAAGCATACATAATTTTAAATAAAACAATGGAGATAGAAAAATGTTTATCGTTTGATAATTTAAATGATCACTGAGCGTATAAAAAAAGTTTCATGCATTAAATCAAAAAACAAATGGCAGTTTTAGTAAAATACTTAGAATTATAAAAAAAAATTTTTTTCATTTTATCTAATGATTCTTGAAACAAGTAATGGATGATACCGATTCATATTCCGCAATCCATAGGTAAACATATTTATCTTTCGTAATATTTATGCAAGAACCAAAAAATAGAATAAATAAAAAGCATAAGTATCTTTCCAATGGTCGTAGTCCATTATTTATGAATCAAACGCTATTCAAAAATTGCTTATTCAAATTCTCACATAAAAACAAATGAACAAAAAAGACAATAGAATGATTGAACTGTTAATACGTATGCAATGTTGAAAGCCATCTTAATGCACTGTACTGAAACATTTCTAGACAAACTATGGAATACAAGGATACGATTCTGAATGTTAACTTATGTGAAAATAAAAAATATTGGCTGAAACCACAAAAAAAGAACAAGCAATCGGTAACAAGAAATGACAGTAAAGGTTACAACATGGATACAACGAAGTTAAAGCATATGGATCAATTTTTGCGTTCATAATGCATTGTAATTTTTAGTCAAGCAATATAATCCAAATGATTGCGAGAAGACATTAATTTCAAAACATTACCGAAATATGTAAAAAGAATCGACTGTAAACAAAGCTTTAGCAGAAATATTCCGATGTAACGAAAAAAATGAACGAGATGACAGTGACAGGTGAGATTTTAATTTTTCGAATTTGCAGACATTTTGCAAATTATTGACAAAGAATTTTCCTTCGTTTCCAAAAATATAACAGCTTTGCATGTATGAAAGCGAAATCTTAAATGAGAAGACAAAGAGTAAGGAAAGAGACAAGCATTAAGTTTCTGCATAAGAATGAACGAAAAGTGGCAATAATTTACTTGCACATTAAAGTATAAGTAATCGCACTTCGTACTTTACTTGAATGTTAAAGCAAAAATTTAATTTATATGTTACAGAAAAAGTAACATGAAGGACAAGTGATTTATTTACATGCTAAAAACAAAAAGAGCAATTTCTTTGATAAAAAATCCATAATGACAAAAAAAAAACACATTATGACAATAATTTGAAATCAACGACTTTTAGTCACAATTGAAGCCAAATCGGCAATATGTTTATTGGTGAAAACCATTCGTCTTTGGATGCACATTCGTTTGTAGAGGGCACTATAACATTTTTCATTTCTAATCAATTCCAATATAGCTGACGCAAAAATAGGTGCTAGTCGTTCAGCTTCTGCTTTCGATACTCTAAAATAAAATACACTTTTTCCTTTTTCGTAAATTCAGCAATCAATCCTAACAATTAGCCAAAAAACTTTTCCAAATCAGCATCTTGACAACAAAAAAACAAAGCATCGTAAAAAAGCCTATTTTAATGAAAAAAAACCAACGAGATACAGCGACATACAAACAATTAACTCCTTCACCTCAAAAAATAACCTGAAAAGTATTTTGACATCATAGTAGCAATCAACTTATATACCTTGCCAAACGATGCAACTTATCAGGAAATTCGACTCCTTCCAACGCAGCTGCAATGAATACAGCAAGAGCCGCAATAACCGATGGTTTCATATAGCATGTGTTATAGTCGTATGATGCTATTTCACTAATAGCTTTTGCCAATGTATGAACACTAAGATCATAATGTTCCGTGAGACGACGGATAAATTGGATGGCACGAGGATATCTCAAATCGAAATTTAAAAGGTGTAACACCTGAAATAAAAATCACAAATTATAAATACTTTTATTAGGAATGAAAATGATTTATAATAGAAATGAAAAGATATCCATATATTTGGACGATTTAAAATATAGCACAATTCCGATCACCGATAACATTATGTATACTAAAACGAGCTAATACTTATGTTGATGTTTAAGGAATAAAAGAGCTCACGATACGCTCTGTTCTTCCATTCTTAAGAGATGTAAGCTTAATGCAGAGTTAAATTGTCGAGAAATCTTATCAAACGCATCAAATGAAAAAATATTATGATAAGCGGTAAATATATGAAATAATACTAGAAAAATTTATCAACCCAGCAAGAAATTTTTTTGATTTACACAAGACATGAAATTATAAAACATAAGCTCAATTAATGAGAGTAGCGAATTAAAAAAATGACAAAGAATTCAGCATTTTGAGCTTCCCTTAAAAGGTAACCATGTTTGCTATACAAAGCTGACAAATTATTGAGTAAAGCAGTAAACTCAAAGATCAATCTTTCGCAAGTGGATTAATTACCGTTTTGAAAAAAACAATAGCTTACATTAATTTCTGCCCGCACGATCTCTTGTTTCGTATTGCCACAAGAATTGAGATATTCAGATATTTCTGGGGGATAAATTTCTTCATACTTGGCTGCTACAACAGCACATCCCAAAGAAATCAGCTGCATTTCTTTCTGTAAACAACAATTAAAGATAATCTACCAAATAAATTAAAGACTTCAAATAGTTCCCGCCAACATCCATATATGTCGCTAAATTTCTTAATATAATCTATTTCCTTAATTCCTATACCAATGTTATGAGCTTTGCTTTAAGTTCTTTTATCGTGTGGATTCTCTACCATCACTCCAATCTTACTTCTCATTTTTAGAAAACAAGCTTATGAAAGCTTTATGAAACCTTCTCAAGTGTAAAACGTCGTGCCATCAAACAACGGTCCAAGAGGTTAATAGTTGTTAACTGCGTCTCTGGCAGCAGCTTAAAAGCAATTTGCAAGCGAGTAATCCAATCTATTGTAGTCATTCGATTCCTCGGTGTAATCTATAAGTTTAACAATAACTTAAAAAATGAGAAAAAAAATTCTTGCAAAGATGCGTCGAAAACGGCAGACAAAAAGGTTCTCAAATCTACCTAATCTACAGCCTCTCCTAACACTTTAAGCTAATGGTTATAATCTCCTTTACTGCAGTTTAAAACGAACATACCCTTGATCCATGCAAGAAATTGGGTGGCACAACTCCTTTATTCTCGATTTCAAACAAATAATCCCAGTTATCGGCCGCATATTGCTCGCAGTACACTACTACGTTATTGTATGTGTCGTAAATGCTACGCTTTCCGTCATGAAATGGTAATGGTTTTAGCAAGTTCTCAATTATCGGTTCTGGTTGGGTGGGAGGAAATTGTCGAGCTATTTCGTTAGGAGTTGGCTGCAGTTTCAAATACTGACCAGGTAGATGCGCATCAGATTTTAAAATAAGCCGGCTACGCAGATTCATGCCTGCATTCATGCTCGCCATGACTCTTGCGAATTCTTCCGAAGCCTAAAGTCACGAAGTATAAGTAAACACAATGCAAATCTAAAATTTCAGAATTTAAGGCAGATGTTGAGGAAACTTAGAGCTAAGCTTTGGCAAAAAGTGTTGGAAAAAAATTAGACTGAGAAAATAGGAAATCCTAATCAGTAAATATGTTTTCTTTCCTTTTCCATCTGATAATTATCATATTACTCCTTACAGGTGGTTTTATTGCAGTGATTTCTTTAAGAATGGACGCAAAAACTGAATATTATATTAAGAAGGTTAAAAACTTTTTAGTCCATGTCATAGAAACCTTGGATTTTACAAGACCATATTCGATTTCTTACTTATGTCCATGTCATTCTTATGTACTTTAATTGGTAATGTTTTTAATTAAAGCTAACATAATGATGACAATATACATGAACCATTAGCTATGTATAATGTATTAAAGAATTCTTCGATGAAAGTGGTAGAAAAAAAAGAATTGCTTCGTAAAAAAGGGAAAAACGTCAAACAATTCTAATTAACTTCAAACACAATTTCAGTTTCAAATTAATACTTTACCTTGCATGGTAAGGTAATACCATATTCGGATTGTTTTTTCTGCGCTGATTTCGTTCTTGCGCGTTTTGGTGATGCCGAAAATGATCGGCGCACTTTACTATTCAGTAATGAAAACTTGCTTTCACCTCCATCTTTGTCGGTTTTTCCTTCATTTGTTACGACATTCTTCATATCTGCCAGTGCAATTCTTCGTGTTTGTGTTTTCTCCCTCATATCGTTTCCATTTTTCCCCAAAATCCCGCTTGCAATATTTTTAAAGCGCTAAAAATATTGAAGTTATCTTTTCATTATTTTTTATTATATAACTTATTAATAATATTTAATCTTTGACCAGGCGTCAAATACCTTTCTTGTCCCCATCCTAACACAAATAGCCCGAGACTTCGTAAAGGACAGATACAGCTATCGTCTCAAGAAATGAACATGTCAGCCAAAGCGGATGCAGAGCCTAGCTGGCAATCTCTTTATTTATTTATTTTAAAGAGCAGTAATGAATCTATTTTACATTTTTGCTTTAGCAGTGAGTGACGACATAAATCAACTTACTCTCTCCCTCACTATACTCGCAACATGATTTAGGTTAAATTAAACAAGCTATCACTTCACTTAGAAGTGATAACATTGTTTAACTTTCTTTATAAAAATATGATTCCGAAACCAACATGTCAAGAAAATTTGTTTATTTATGACAATATTTTGAAAATAAAAAGGTAGTGTCTGACGCAAATAGAAATTTGTCGATCTTATCAAAATTGAACTAAGTGTATCAAATATAATATTAATTTTCATTTCAGGTCTTACACATTTAGAAATTTGTGGATGCGATTAAAATAGTCTGAAATAAAGTAAAATAATATTTTTTGACATAGAAATGGAGCATCCAGAAGTCCGGAAAATGAAACCCTTAGTAATTTGCTTTTTGTCCCAATGAATCAAAACTCAGTTTATATAATTTTCAGAATCATTCATTCCTTTTTTAAGAGATAAAAAAGGAAAGATGTGAAATTAAATAATATACTTATGTTATAACCGATACATCTTACACTAGCTTGAAAAATACATATCAAGATCAATTATGGATTATTCACATGAAGCCACTGCTATGCTATTCGTCAAAAATTTCATAATAACCTGTAGTGAGTTTTCGCTCAGTTTTTTCTGGGGTATTCCCATCTCACCATTTGCAGATGTTGATCTTCCGGATGGCTTTACAGGGATATTTTCATTCTCAGCGCTGTTTCGACTGCGTCTCAACATTTTCACCTGAATCAACAGTGGATAGAGAAATAATCGTTTATAAAACGGTAAGCAATCCAATATGACAAAGCGCAACGCAAATAATATCGCTTAAAAATTCAATGGAACAATATAACAGAATGTTGATCTCAATGATCTCACGTATTAAAAAAATACAAATTATTCAAAGGAATATACTGACAGAAATCCCCAAACTTGTCTATCTGTATCGTCATCAATCTATTCCAATACTTAGATACTATCACTTTGTCAGATACAAGACTAAAAATGGCACATTACCGAAAAAGACACCAACATAGACGAATAATTTTCAAATAAAAATTTAAAAAACTGAGTACAAGAAACAATTTTTCCAGTGCTATGCCGATAGGCTTTTTTAAATTCCTTAAACTTCCTTAAAAAAAATTATGAAGCCTATCAGCACAGCCAACTTGGTATTTAAAACTAAACAATATTACAAAATAGAGCAAACCCAAATAGCGCAACAATTATAAAATCAGCAAATGGATGTGATGGTAATTTAAATGAAAAACAGTACCGATGCTTGAAAGTGTAAATGTCGATCGCTATTTAGATCCTGTCAATGTTGGAATTGATACTACTTAAAGAAAACTTCAAATAGAAGAAGGCAGTCCTATTGCTAAGGAACATAGAGGTTTTATTAAATCTAAACATAACCTAGTTTACAATATTATGTTAATTTTTGATGTTCTGTTGCAGTTGCTTGACATACTGGGTATTGACACTCGCAGTAATTTAGTTAAAATGCACCTATTTCATTGGAATAAAAATTGTCTGTTATCTAAATTAACTGACATCAAAATTTGTTGAGGATCTGTGCTTATGCATACAGCAGAAATGCAATATAAATCCTCATAGAAAAAATAGAGGGTTTAGCTTGCTATTGTTGCTTAGTTAATAAATTTTATGAAAATTTTAATATTATTTTTCAAAATATTAAAATAAGTCTTTAAAATTATGAAGTGAACTTTTGCCCCAATCAGAAAGCTGTTTTAAATAGAGAGAATATTTTAAGAAAAAGTAACTATAAAATTAGAGCTAACTCAAATAACTAGATGCACAGAAGTTATTCGCGAACGGTCCTGTAACCAATGTATCTCTCGAAAGTTCCAACATTGCTTTGGATTGTTTTCTGTTTACAATTACAATAAACAGATATAACAATGACAAACATTTAATAAATTGAAGATATCTTTCAAAAAAAATTATAAAAAAGGTGACCAATTGTTTGCATAAATTTGCATAAAGGTAAGCTTTAAAAAAATTCTCCAATACAAACATATATGATTGCTCATTAATTAATTTACCTGGTAATTTTACATTTGTTGTATAAACAGCACTAAATATGAAATATTTTTTTGCAATAGGATTAACTTCATCACAAACCTTTTTTGATACATACAATTTAAGAAGTAAGCAATAGTTGTTGACTGTCCGAATTTGAGATGACCTGAATAACCACAATGTTGGCTGCATCATTTGCCTAGTTAACATCTCGAAATTATCTCAAACTCCAATGAAAATAAAACGAAATTTCTAAGACAGTTTGAAAATAGAAAATAATGAAATAGCATAGTGAGATTTGCAATTAAGCTTTTTGTCATATTTTTTCCTGTATCAAACTAATTAGAGTTTTTAAATTAGCCAAGTGAAATCTTTTATCTTCCTGATAAAAAAATTGGCAGAACTGTTAATGATTTTTCACCAAAAAATAATATTAATTGAATAAACTAATACCACAGAATAATCAACTTTTGGCCGTTTCCTCAAAGATTGTTTTTCAGATGTGTTTATAATTATTTAAACTTTTATTATTGTATTTATTTGTTTTGAGTTGCTAAAGTAAATGTCATATAAACAAGTAAATTATTCAAGTCGAACTTTAGTTCCTATCGCTAACAATTCATACATCTCTTATTTCAATGATTTCCCTCAAAACTAATTGACAAATTTTTAAAATGTTTTAGTGAAAATAGTAAAATTTCCATATTTTTATCATCTGGAATTGAAGATATCCCAGTTAATGAAAGTGAAAATTAGATGAAACTTTTGGAACCGGAATAAATCGTACTCTCCAACAAAAAAATTCCGATTTTTGCATAAGTCTAAGTCAATTCAAATGACAGGAAACAATGGAAATTGGACAGAAAATGTCAAAATGAACATTGTTACCTGGAATAACATGAAATTTATAAAAATTATTAATCGAGACATAATATATATAAAGTTGCCCCTACAATCACTCGGCAATACTACAAACTGAGCGGACCATGTAACAGGTTTTACTTTCATTTCATACTGCAAGGAAGACAGCATATTTACAATATAAATCTGAATACCGTAAAATAAAAAAACTTGCAGTAAGTAGTAAAAAATTCGTTGTGCTGCACCGTTGTGTTTTATGTCCTCCTTCTGCTGGTATTTTTTAAATGTCGGGAACCAACCTTCTAGTTTAACGTCGGAATGAACTTTTTCAAAGTGTGAATGCCTAAAGCACTTTTTGTTAACTAACAGGAATTCATAATCCTGAACTTCGATAACTTGTGAAAGGAATAAACTTTTACAAATTCCAAATAAAATATGCTTTGTTTTCAATGTGTAAATCAGAAAAGTCCATAACAGTACAGAATTTCATGTTAAAACAGCACATCCCGCCGTACAATTTTTTCTTTTTGTTTTTTTTTCTGAATAAATATTTTCTTCACTACTATTCTTGGCATGGAGCTCATTAATAGTTTGAATGAATTTGTAATCTGTTTTCTTTCGTGCTAATATTGCGGAATGTCACAGATGAAACAAATTTCAACTACCGATGATGTTGTTCTCGCTCCACACGTCACATTCCAAGACTTCTTTGTTGAAGTAGATTTTTTTTACAATCGCCAATATTTGACGCGATTCAAGCGTTGGATCCTTGACATTCCCTTTTAACATTCGTTGGTAGGTGACGCTATAAGAATAAATTACACGTGTCACAAACAGTAATTGAGCAGGTAATATCGAGGCTTGATTAGCAATATTTAATATAAAGACCTACATCACAAATTAATTCGAAGTGTTGCTAAATGAAAAGATATCAAGGCTTGGTTAGTCGCTCAATCAAACTTCAAGTCTTTATATTCTCCAATTAATATAGGATTTTAATTATTCCTTCTACCTCTTTCATATAGAGCTTCATACGAAGCCCTCTTAATCGATAACTTCCTTTACTTTGACATCCCATTCAGTATGGACGACCGCAATGACCCTATTTACAGCAATTCCTTGATATCCATACAATGATCTCCACTGAAGAGAGCGAGAAAGATACTTCGTGGTATAGTTCATAAGCAACTCTATACAATCATAACATACATGAGTTGAAAACATCCATTTGAAGGAATAGTAATTACTAATCACAGTTTTCCACACTCGATTTCTCATCCATAACTATTTCTATTTCTCTCGGAGCGATCTTCTTATATTCTGAAAAGCAAACATATCAATAGTCGTTTGAATTTAGCCTATCATTTTCATTCCTATTATTGATTGATCCACATTATACCATTATTACCTATTAAATCACCCATCTTTTTCCAATTTCCAATTGTTACGAATTATTTCTATAAGATGAAATAAAATCATCTCTGGAACTAAACATGAGTTCGCAATTTTTAAGATAATATCAATTCCAGTCAATAGCTTTTTCCGCTACCTATAATTTTTCAGAATTATGAAAAATACTTAATCGATCAAGGCAGTAAAATACCTTTGTCAGATTTTGTACCAAAAAATTTCAAAACATTACGGCGAGTAATCGATATCACTTGTGTAACATCGCGCGCCATATCAGAATCATGTGCTAAAATTGTCAAATATGTCATCACATACAACATATATTCAAGTTTATCCGATACCGAGAAATTCCCGAGATATCTTTTAGGCAACAATAAAACGCAACCATATAAAATCAGCTAGCAAAGACCATATATGATTTTCAGATAACCTTACCTTATAATCTCTGAGCTCTGTGCAGCAATTATTGAGATTGTTATTGCTAGGATGACCTTTGAACCTGGCTAGAAACTAACACTTTATCAACCACTCGTTCTCTGCCCGCCATAAAACGTAATTCGATGACGTCAGGGCAGAAGTAGTGGAAAGCATACTATGTCGAAATTTTTGAAAATGGCAAAGCCGCGCTAACTACTAAAGACGGCCTTAACGGCCATCACGAGTAACACTACGAAAAATGATTAGCATAGGAGAATGGTATGATCGGTTAATGTTCTTTTCTTGTTTTGCCAACAGAACAAGCCTTGTTTGTAAAAATTGCATTGATAAATTTTTCGCTATCAGTACAGTAATAGTTTTTGAATAAGAAAAAAAAATAGTAGATTTTAAGAATTATGATCAAGCTATAAATGAGATTAAAAAAATTTTCTAATAAAAATGTATTACAGATATTTGGATTCGAAATCACATAATCTTTAAAATCTATCTATTGGAAAATTATATGGGATTATCAGTAGCTCAGTTAATAACCCGGAAGCTTAAATAAACCTTGAAATTCGTGAGATTAAATGTAAATTAACCTGTGAAAATCAATTAATTTGAGGAATTTATTCCTGTGAAATTTAACATTTTAGCTAGAAAGCATTTTCTCATGACATATTTTCCCATTTTTCAACCAATAAATTCTACGATGATTTTTTAATAGTTGAATTTAATTAACGGACAATTTGAATCATTAAGAATTGTAAAGAAATCTGTAAAAATTTATTTACCATTCATTCCGGAAGGTCCGTATAATATGGAAATGTCATGGAATTTTTAAACAGTACGCCATATGGAAAAAATTCATTCGTTCCAAATCTAACGCAAAAATCATCACTTCACTACATTTAATTAAGATTTAATTTTATTAAAAAGTTTAATAATCATTTTTTAAGAAAACTTTCCAAGTGCTTCAATGTTTCTCTATCACAATTCTGAAAACG